AAGTGCTGGTGTGAACATCAAGATGATCACTGGAGACAATGTGTTCACTGCAAAAGCCATAGCAACAGAATGTGGAATTCTTCATCCTAATCAGGAAGTAGATGAAGGAGCAGTCATAGAAGGTGAAGAATTTCGCAACCTAACAGATGAAGTACGGATGGAGAGAGTGGAGAAGATACGTGTGATGGCAAGATCATCCCCTTTTGACAAACTTCTAATGGTGCAGTGCTTGAGAAAGAAAGGTCATGTGGTCGCGGTCACAGGTGATGGAACGAACGATGCACCAGCTTTAAAGGAAGCAGATATAGGACTTTCTATGGGGATTCAGGGCACTGACGACAGAGAAGCCAACCGAGGAACTCATGAAGAAGAAACCAGTCGGTAGGACTGCACCGCTTATCACCAACATTATGTGGAGAAATCTAATGGCTCAGGCCTTATATCAGATTGCTGTTTTACTGACCTTACAATTCAGAGGAGAATCAATCTTTGGTGTCAGCAAGAGAGTAAACGATACGTTGATCTTCAACACGTTTGTTCTTTGCCAAGTGTTCAATGAATTCAACGCGCGAAACCTGGAGAAGAAGAATGTCTTTAAGGGAATACACAAGAACAAGTTGTTCATGGCGATCATCGGAATAACATTGGTTCTCCAAGTGGTGATGGTGGAGTTTCTAAAGAAGTTTGCAAATACAGAGAGGCTGAATTGGGGGCAATGGGGAATTTGCATTGGATTTGCAGCTGCATCTTGGCCAATTGGTTGGCTTGTCAAGTGCATAAATGTCCCAGAGAGACCATTCTTTAGTTATCTAAGGTTGAATTACTTGAAAGCCTTGTTTAAATGAGTAGATTTAGGTGTTACCTATGTTTTTTGCATAAGCTAGTTAGTATCTGTTTTGATTAATTGATTTATGTTACATTCCATTATTTATATTAAAAACCATAGTGTACTTCGTTTATGATTGTCAACATACTTGAGCTGATAATATGTTCAAAAATTTGAAGCTTTAGACTGGCATTTGCAATTTCTTTAAACACCTTCTACCTAATATCAGATCTCTCCTCTAACACGAGTCCTAGTCATGGCGCGTTGGATGCTCTTTAACCTCCCCACAATGATAGCTCTGCTGTCTTGGGGAGCGTTGAAGCTTGCTTCTTCGGAAGACTTTGAGGGTCTACTTCCTAGTTAGCTTCGGTTGTGTGATTTGCACTTCTAATTGGTTCTGTCCATCCATGATCATAATGAATGGACTATGAATTAGGTTCCCGTTACCCTTCCTCCCTCATGGTTATTTTGATCTCCACTAGATAATAAATATGTGTTCATGAGAACCCAATAACTTTTGCACAGACTATAGATATTATGAAATTCATTACATATCAAAATAAAAAAGTTGACCAACTTAATTATTATCGTATATTAACTTGAGGTCACCTTAAAAAGCATTAAATTTCGATTTTTCACCTCTTTTCAGTATTCACATATTAAAATTCAATAAAACTTAGGTTCAAAAGTAGAGAATTGAGTTTGCCACCTTCCCTCTTAAGATTAGACTTCTGAGTTTCGAGTGTTAAGGATTCAATTCTAGGTTTAAACATTTTTTTGGTTTTTATACTTTAGAAATTTGGAACTCTAATCCTATCTTATAAGTAGATAAGAATATTGTCAATTATAGTGATTAAGACTTCATTTGTATAGACAATTGTATATGGTACAAAGTAAATGTTTTCTCTGAAAATATTTTCAAGGAAAATAAGTGATTTCTCACTTTAGGTAAAGTGTTATTTGAAATATTTATTTACATTAACAATTGATAATAAAATTAGTAAAATGTACCGTGGTTTTTCAAAAAAAAAATAAAAATTGGGGTGGAGAAAGCGGAATTGGGAGGGAATTAGGGAATTGAACTCTCACCAGCAAGGTGTGAGTTCAGCCGTTCAGATAGTCAACTAACTTAGCTACTAAGATTTTCCCAAATGTACCATGGCTGATATGTGTAGTAATGAGCAATTTATATGTCAAAATTACTTGAGCCAAAAGAATACGCGGGACCCATATTCTTTGGCACAAAGGAAAAACATGTGGCATCATATTTTACGGAATCATATATTTATATATGGGTCTTTTGAAAATATATTATATTATCTTATTGAAATGATTGGTAATTTTTTCCCTTGTCCCAAGTAGGAATTGGAGAAAATTATTATTTTAGAGAGATTATTAATTAACTGAATATTAATTTTGTAAGATTTTACTGTATTTCAAAACTAGGTATTGTTATGTGAGGTTGAAAGCTGAAATGAGACGACAGAACGAGTGAAAGAAGTTACTGAAAGTAAAGCCCCTTTTGTTGTGTTGGCAACATGGGAGTGCGAACTCGGTTTCCCGTACGACACACACAACTATTAACGCTCTTTCTCGATCAGGTCTGGAACGCACAGTGTTGTTCAACCTTTCCCTTTGTGGTCCATTTTCTCAATTTTTGATATTTGAATTTGTGGTCCATTTTCACTCTTTTACCTCCTACTCACCACCCCACGCAGTTCCCCTATCCGCTCATCTCTCTTCTTTTTTATTTTTTATTATTTTCATTTTTCTATCTATTAATAAAATCAACTTCCAAATACAATTAAAAAATTGAATTTTTGATTGATTTTTTTTTAATGTATGGTACAAATAGTTCATTTTATTTTATAGATTTGCCATACAAAATAAAATCGATACAAAAAGGAAGAAAAAAGCTCTTCTTTTTCTTATTTTTATTTATGAGTTTGCTTGTTAATTTTGGATAAGCAGTTATGGGGAAATTGATTTTTTTGGTCAGATTATTAATTACTGCATGCTAGTTAAATAAATAATTTATATTTATTAAAAATAATTTCATCTAATTAATTTATATTCTAAAGTGAATGAAATGCCATTAATTTGAGTTTTGACTTAGTTTACTAATACTATTATTTGTGTTTTGAGTTTGTTTGATACTACTAAAAATGTTGGATAATAAGTTTATTTTTGAATATTAAAATTTTTACAGACGTTTTAGTTATCTTAACAAATAAGTTATTTAACATTTTAAAAAAAAAAAAAATACATTATTTCAACTTCAACATTTTTGTCTTTTTATTTCTAAATTCAACTTTAGCACTTAAAAATTGTTTTTAAGTACGTATATATAAAAATTGTTTAAATTTAGCTTAATCAATCATCTCTAATTCTAGTATTTTCGTTAATATTCAGATAGTTTCCAAATTTTTGTGAAAAAAAGTCAAATAAAATAAATTAACTTATATTTTATCGTATCAGCCTCATTATTTTCTTTGTATGTAGTGCATGCTTTACTTGTTGGGAAAAAAGGCGGACTGACACAAAAATATATATGGCCAAATGATAGAAATAAAATGGGAAAATAATGATACCAAGAATTTTACGTGGAAACCCTTTTTAATAAGGGAAAAATCACGGGCCAAGAGGAGCAACTGATATCACTATAGTAAGGAATTTTACATCGTGTAGTCACGAATACAATACTCAAAGTGACTACTACACACTCAAAAGGAATAACACTCTTTTGATTTTCACCTTACTAAAATATCGCTCACACTCTATTTTTCTTCACAGACTATTTTCTTGTATAGTCTATGAAAACCTCACAGCTCTCTATATTTTTTTTTCTCTGTGAATTGGTGTATTCTATAAATGAGCTAATGAGCTCCATTTATAGAAGACTTGTATAGTCTATGAAAACTTCACAGCTCTCTATATTTTTCTTTCTCTATGAATTGGTGTATTTGAAATAAGTAAGGACTCTCTATTTATAGGAGAAATCTACTCCTAATGATGTCACTAGTGACAACATAAAAACACCAAAAATTCTACTCCTAATGATGTCACTAGTAACAACATAAAAACACCAAAAATTCAACCTTCGCAAATATGCAAATATGCAGATTTTTTGGTAAGATTTTAGTTGAAAAATAAATGGTGAGCTTTGGTTTGTTGCGGCATTTGTTGACTTTAACAATAAGCAATAAATCTTTCAACCTTTCCTGCATTTACCTTTCCTTATATTTTATGTATAATGGGTATGGACCCTACATTACTATGTGATTTGTTGTCTTTTAGTTTTAACCTTTTCTCAATTACCAAACGAAAAAATGGATTTTGTTTTTATCTTCCACATTTCAATTTTTAAAGAACTACATTAGGTGAAAAAAAAATATATGAAAAAAGACAAAAGTAAAAAAAAAAAAAAAAAAAAAAAAAAAAAAAGACAAAAAGAAGAGGGGTGCAGATGAGGGGAACTGGTGGGGGTGGTGAGTGAGAGATAAAAATGTGAAAATGGAGATAAAAGAGTACAAATGTATCGGTCAATCTCAAGCAATTTTTGTTGGTTACGTCTCTACCATCTTAAGTTTTTTCACATTTTGAAACGAACAAATGGCTGCTTTCCCTGCATTTCATAATTAATACTACCCCACACGGATCATATTGTTATCTGTCGGTGTGACCAATTTGTAACAAAAAGAAACTCATGTGGTATGGTCCTTTCCTAAATTCTATACACAATAAAAGCTTAGTGCATCAAATTGTTTATTTTGTTAAATAATGTGAGATGGATAGTTTTTCTAACTACAGAATAATGAAATATCGCAGTAATTAAGAAATCATTACATGCTAATCTGCTGTAATATCTGATAAAAAAAATTTGACTGTATAAAAGCCAAGATCTTTTACACTGCTAAGTGCTAACATATATATATTAAGTTAAGACTCTAATTATATTGTTTGTGTAAAGTTCCCCCATTAAACTCAAATTACATATCTTGGATGGTGTACATTTTGTAGTTGACCGAAGTGTTTAGGGTTGTAATTATCCAAAAATTAAATTGTAGAACTTAATTACATGTAAAGTTCTGATTAAACTCAAAATTAGATACATTCCAAATGTATCATTTTCAAAGGCAGGAAGTAGAAATTTCTGTGAAGTACAGTCAACAGAACTTCATTGATTTGATTACGCGTAGAGATGACAATGGGGTGGTGTGGGACGGGTTGAGCTTTAGGGGATTATTACTACTTCACTCCAAAACACATTCAATCAATTGTTTGATATTTTTATCCTTTTAATTTATTGTTATTATACACATTTTCCATCCAACATGTTTCAAGAAAATTTGCGTTATCTCTGCATGAACAATATTACAACTGATTTTCCAGCAGAAATTGAATCCTCCAACAAAAAAAGATGGCACTTAGCGTTTGCTACCATCTACTGTTCCAGAGCTTTTAAAAATAAGGTATCACCTGCCATTGTGCCATCTTATAGTCATGGATCACCTGCTTACAATCCAACAAAAGTACTTGGTGATACAATCGCGATTGATGTAGTTCAAGACCACCCTTTTTTCTCAGGCATTGATCACTCAAGTCTAGCTAAGCTTGTCAAAGATAAAAACACTGACGAACTTGCTGACCTTGGAGGTGTACAAGGTGTTGCTGCTTCTCTCAAAACTGATACAACTAATGGTGTAAGCGGAGATCCAGAAGACGTTGCACGTAGACATGAGGCTTTTGGAAGCAACATGTATCGTAAGGCACCTGCTAAGAGTTTCTTCATTTTTGTTTGGGAATCATTCAAATATCCCACCATCATTGTACTTTTGATCTGGGGTGCTCTGTCTATTGTATTGGGAATTAAGGAGGATGGAGTGAAAGAAGGATGGTGTGATGGAGGGGGTATTTATGTCGCTGTGTTACTTTTCGTCACTGTTTCGTCTACTAGTCATTTTAGACAAACCAGACAGTTTGATAAGCTTTCTAAAGAGACCAAAATTATTCAAGTAGAAGCTGTTAGAAAGGGGAGGCGCCAACAGATATCAATATTTGAAATTGTGGTTGGAGATGTCATTTGCTTGAAGATTGGAGATCAAGTCCCTGCTGATGGGATTTTGGTACAGGGTCATTCTTTACAAGTGGATGAATCTAGCATGACAGGTGAAAGTGATCATGTAGAGATTAATATCAGCCAAAATCCATTCTTGATTTCTGGCACTAAGGTTGTCGATGGCTATGGAATGATGCTTGTGACATCGGTTAACATGAACACGACCTGGGGTGAAATGATGAGCGAAATTAGCAGTGGCCCTAACGAGCACACCCCTCTCCAAGAACGACTCGAAAAGCTCACTTCATCAATTGATAAAGTTGGATGGTTAGTTGCCTTCTTGGTTTTTGTTGTCCAATTGGTACTATACTTTACCGGGACCACAAAAGATGAGAATGGGAATAAAAAATTCAACCGGAGCAAGACATCATCCGGTGATGTGATCAATGCTGTGGTGGGAATTGTTGCTAATGCTGTTATCATTGTTGTTGTCGCGATTCCTGAAGGCTTACCTTTAGCTATTACACTTACTCTGGCTTACCTGATGAAGAGAATGATGGATGATAAGGCAATAGTGAGGAAGCTCTCTGCTTGTGAGACTATGGGCTCTGCAACCATCATCTGTACAGACAAAACAGGTACTCTTACATTAAACAAGATGACTGTCACAAAGTTTTTCTTAGGCATACAGCACGTGAAGGCAGAAAGTCATACAACAATTTCAGCAAAAGTTCTTGAATTATTCCATCAAGGGGTTGGATTAAACACTACAGGTAGTGTTTTCAAGTCCTCCGATCCATCTTCCAACTTTGAGTTCTCAGGCAGCCCTACTGAAAAAGCTATTCTTTCATGGGCTGTTACGGAATTGAATATGGAGATGGATCAAATCAAAAGAAATTTCAACATTCTACATGTGGAAGCTTTCAATTCAGAGAAAAAGAAGAGTGGTGTCCTGATCAAGAACAACAGTGATGGCACAATTCATGCACATTGGAAAGGTGCTGCTGAAATGATTTCAAGAATGTGCTCCCATTACTATGATCTAGAAGGGAACGTAAAACCTCTCGAGGAATCAGATAAGGAAGAATGTGATAGGATAATTGAAGGAATGGCTGCCAGCAGCCTCCGATGTATTGCATTCGCACACAAGCAAGTGCCAAAAGCTGAGCAGGAGGATCATGAACATATGCATGGAAATGTTCCAGACAACTCTATAATTCTTTTGGGCTTTCTTGGCCTAAAAGATCCATGTCGACCTGGCATGAAGAAAGCTGTGGAAGATTGCCAGAATGCTGGTGTGAAGATCAAGATGATCACTGGAGACAATGTTTTCACTGCAAAAGCCATGGCAGAAATTCATACATCAATTTCGGCAAAAGTTCTTGAACTATTCCATCAAGGGGTTGGATTAAACACTACAGGTAGTGTTTTCAAGTCCTCCGATCCATCTTCCAACTTTGAGTTCTCAGGCAGCCCTACTGAAAAAGCTATTCTTTCATGGGCTGTTACGGAATTGAATATGGAGATGGATCAAATCAAAAGAAATTTCAACATTCTACATGTGGAAGCTTTCAATTCAGAGAAAAAGAAGAGTGGTGTCCTGATCAAGAACAACAGTGATGGCACAATTCATGCACATTGGAAAGGTGCTGCTGAAATGATTTCAAGAATGTGCTCCCATTACTATGATCTAGAAGGGAACGTAAAACCTCTAGAGGAATCAGATAAGGAAGAATGTGACAGGATAATTGAAGGAATGGCTGCCAGCAGCCTGAGATGTATCGCATTCGCACACAAGCAAGTGCCAAAAGCTGAGCAGAAGGATAATGAACATATGCATGGAAATGTTCCAGACAACTCTTTCATTCTTTTGGGCTTTGTTGGCCTAAAAGATCCATGTCGACCAGGTGTGAAGAAAGCAGTGGAAGCTTGCCAAAGTGCTGGTGTGAACATCAAGATGATCACTGGAGACAATGTTTTCACTGCAAAAGCCATAGCAACAGAATGTGGGATTCTTCATCCTAATCAGGAAGTAGATGAAGGAGAAGTCATAGAAGGTGAAGAATTTCGCAGCCTCACAGATGAAGAACGGATGGAGAGAGTGGAGAAGATATGCGTGATGGCAAGATCATCCCCTTTTGACAAACTTCTAATGGTGCAGTGCTTGAGAAAGAAAGGTCATGTGGTTGCGGTCACAGGTGATGGAGCAAACGATGCACCAGCTTTAAAGGAAGCAGATATAGGACTTTCTATGGGGATTCAGGGGACTGAAGTAGCTAAAGAGAGTTCTGATATTGTCATCTTAGATGCTAATTTTGCTTCAGTTGTCACAATTCTGAAATGGGGAAGATGTTTCTATATCAACATCCAGAAATTCATCCAATTTCAGCTCACAGCAAATGTGGCCGCGCTCATGATCAGCTTTGTAGCAGCTGTTTTGTCTGGTGAGGAACCACTCACATCAGTACAATTGCTATGGGTAAATTTGATCATGGACACATTAGGGGCATTAGCACTTGCTACAGAGAAGCCAACCGAGGAAGTCATGAAGAAGAAACCAGTCGGTAGGACAGCACCACTTATCACGAATATTATGTGGAGGAATCTAATGGCTCAAGCTTCATACCAGATTGCTGTTTTATCAACCTTACAATTCAAAGGAGAATCAATCTTTGGTGTTAGCAAGAAGGTAAACGATACGTTGTTTTTCAACACGTTTGTTCTTTGCCAAGTGTTCAATGAATTCAACGCACGAAACCTGGAGGAGAAGAATGTCTTTAAGGGAATACACAAGAACAAGTTGTTCATGGCCATCATCGGAATAACATTGGTTCTCCAAGTGGTGATGGTTGAGTTTCTAAAGAAGTTTGCAAATACAGAGAGGCTGAATTGGGGGCAATGGGGAATCTGCATTGGATTTGCAGCTGCATCTTGGCCAATTGGTTGGCTTGTCAAGTGCATAAATGTCCCAGAGAGACCAATCTTCAGTTATCTCAGGTTAAAATAGAGTAAATTTAGATGTTCATTTTTATTTTCTTGGTCCATAAGCTAGTTTGTTGCTAGAGTACTAGTGTGTTGTTAAATCGTTGATTGATGTTGCATTCATTTATTACTCACTACTTGTACAAAAATTATGTTTCAAATTTTTTTAAAAAAATGAGCCTCTCAAATTAGGTTCATTTATTGAATATTTAATTTCAAGATAACACTAAATAAGAATACAATGATAAACTAACGTTATTTTTTAAGGGGCGTAAAACCTAAAATGATCACAACTAAATAGAAATGGAGGGAGTATTAGTTGACTGACCATTTGAGATATTAACCCAAAAATTACAAACCAACTCAATCATCATTGTACTCATATTTTACCCTTTAGCTTCTTCTTTTTTTGTGTGGTCTCAAATACTTCATTTCATGATAGCTCAATTGTTTTTCACACACTCATACTCGTCGTATAATAAGCCAAGCTGGAATCCAATATCCACTCTTATAAATATCTTAAAGAATGACCAGTCTCAAGTCAACAACAAAAAGACCAACATTTTTTATGTAATATATATAACTATTGTCGTCAATTAGTTCCTTTTTTATTTGTGTCTATTTTCTATCTTTACTTACTTATTGTTAAATTTTAAAATTTCTTTTTATCTTCCGTGTATATCTGATATTATATCGACTTATGTTAAAGCTCTCTTTGGATATAAGTAAATCCATATATCCTTTTCGTAGAATTTTTTTGTTTTGTAACTTGTGCACTAATGGAGAATTCGTTGTCGACATTCTACACGTATTAATATATCAAAATTACAGGGAAATTTCCTTTTGCTTTTTGGATAAGTGTTTTCACGTAGCCTCTTCATTTTTTTTCTAAATAACGGAAGGATTTTATTTAGTTAATAAATATGTTCAACCATACAAAAGGATTTTTTTTTCTAAAGGACTGAATTCGCGTCATGCCGAGCTCCATTCAAAGCAAAACGCTTCTTACCAAGAACTTTTTTAAGGTCTCGAACTCAAAAAATTTTAATTAAAGGAGAACAATCTCATCCCGTGCATCCGCAACGGTTGGTTGTTCCTTTTGCTTCTTTGTTTTTGTGTGTGGTGTGTGTCCAATACTTCATTACATGATTACGTCAATCGTTTTTCATTCTCTGATAAGTCATACATATAAGCCAAGTTGGAATCGAATACAATATATATATATTCCAACCATAATATCATCTCCTCAGGTATGTATGGTACCACACGGTTTACTTTTATCTACACACTTGTAGCCATCACCTCTTTTATGCACCAATAGAATCCAATAGTCGCAATATACATTCCAAATATATCAAACTAGAAATTAAACACCATCTTCACTTAGCTATTTTGATATTATTATGCCATAAATCATGCGTGACAATGAAATAAACTCGAGTTCTCAACACAAATACTTAAACATCATATAATAAGATAACCAAATTATAATAGCAATACTTTAACTCTTAAATTACAATGAAAATAACAAGTAATTAAAGATACAGATAAGAATGGGATGGAGGTTTAGACTCTGAAAAGAAGATGAGAGAAATAGACATTTTCTTCCCAATACGCATAATTCTCCAAAACGATTACAATCATTTACTTAATCTGATCCCAAGCAAAACTAGTATTGGATTGTCTAATACTTGGCCTCTTTGTGGTTTATCCTCAGGCCCAGTAGCTTGGACAGCCGTGTTCACAACAGACAACATCTTGCAAGTGCAGTTAACACCTATATATGGTAACTAACTAAGAATATGTTTGAATTGACTTAAAAGATGGTTAAATTTATTTTTTAAATTATTTTTAGCTTTGGTCCTTCTAATTTTTATTTTTTGACTTAAAAATTATTTAAGTGACTTTTTATTTTTGAACTTAAAAGCTACTCCCTCTGTCTCAATTTATGTGGCACTTTCCGTTTTTCGAGAGTCAAACAATTTAAGTTTGACCAAAAATTTGCGCATGAAATCTTTAATTTTTTAAAAATGAAATTTATATATTTGTATACTATGTAAAAAGTATTATAAGTCACAATAATTGATAATTAATATTTAAAAGATCTATAAAAAATTTACGGTCAAAGATAGACTTGTTTTAATCTCAAAATTCAAAAAATGCCACATAAAATAAAATGAAGAAAATACTTTTTTAAAGCTAATCCAAATGGGCTCCAACTCTTTTAAAACTTCTTGCACAAGTATAACAGTCAACTAATTATGTAGAGTTATGTCATTCAACGCGTATTATATTAAATTACTGGAAATTTCGTTATGGAAATTTGCACACTTTTTATCATTTCACCTTTTGCTTTTTGGATGTGTTATCAAGTAGTCTCTTCATTTCATGTATGATAATTCAATCATTTTTTCACTTTTTAATAAGCGCTATTACGACTATATATTAGCCAAGCTGGAATCCACTACACTAAAGGGCCATTTGGTTGGAGAAACTAAGTGAGTTATTTCAATATTAAATTTGGAATTAATTGCATATTCCTAAAAGAAGGTTTTGAAATGATTCAAACATGTGAAGAAGAAAAGTACAAATGCTTTAGTGAGGAGGCGTGAGCAGTTAACAATGTTAGGTTTAAGGAGATATAGAGGTAGACTGAAGAAAAATTGAAGAGGGGTAATCATTAGACAGAAAATGATACATCTTCAGCTCACTGTATTACATGATTCTAGATAGAGGAGCATGAACTAGAGTAAAATGTTACTTTCTGTGTTTCACAAAGAATGACCTACTGTGACTTGACACAAAGTTTAAGAAAATAAATAAAACTTTTGAATCTTATGGTCTTAAATTAAAGTTGTGTCAAATGTACAAAATTATCTTTTAATCTTGTGGCCTTAAACATGCCACGTGAAAAGCTGAAATTAAAATGTTTCCAAAAAGGGAAAGAAGTCATTGTACTAGATAGACTAGAGATTTCTCTTCTCGGTAAGAGCATTTTCTAATTTAGAGCACCTTATTTACTTCCTCTTTTCTTTATCAATATCTTTATTATTTTATTCTTCAATTTTATTACTATTGTTATTTCCAACTGTACCCTTACTATTTCTTCCTAATAGTATTCCATTCTCAAGAAAAATCTAATAAATGCGAGTAACTTAGTAGATTATATCTTACATTTATTATTTTTTAATGGTCATGCAATAAATTAAAGCGATACGTATAAGTGAAACTCCCTCCGTTCGTAAATATTTGTCATCCTTATTAAAAATTGATAATTCACCCTACTTATCATTTTTAGTAAAAATAGATGATACACAATACTTATATTTTAAAATACCAAGATATAATTGAATATATTCTCCCTATTTTATCCATAAGAATATAATTATTCTTGAAAGTAAATATTGACTAATTTATTTAGTATAAGAAATGTTGATTTAGTTTTCTAATCTCTTTATTTATGGTTGTTTAGATACTTTCATTAGCACATGTTTCATCTTTTTTAGTTAAAGAAATCAAATAAGGGTATGATTGTAAAAATACTTAATTTTTTAAATAGGGAGTGCAAATAAAAAAGGAAAAAATATATGGTTAAGCAAATATATACTAGTTAACTAGTCATCATAGCTATAGTTTTAGTTAATTACGAATTGCGATCAATATTCTGTGATAATTATGTGAGCTAGGGTTTCGAGTTTGTATAATTCACAGGTTCGTTTTTTTTCTTCAGAATTTGCACAACTTTTATATATTGTAATTTTGTAAAATAATTTGTATAACTGTTTAAAGTTCAGATGTTTGTGTTTGTATAAATTCGTTATTTCAAGTTTCTACCAAAAATAGTTCAATTATACAAACATACCCACGAATTATACAAACTCACCTGCAAATTATAGACAGGTTAAACTATAGCTAAAACCCGTAAATATACATACTATAACTATGAAACATAATTAAGTTTATTACAATAGCTATTTACAAAAATTGTGACAAATATTTAAAAACATATGGAGAACTAATACAATAGCCAGAGATGGCAATGAGGCAGGGCAAGAGTTTAACGGGACAGGGTAGGGGACTGCTTAAAAAGGCAGGATAAGGTAGGGCAACACTCTCAGCTGATTTGACCAATGTGAATTGACACGCTTACAATCACGTCCTTTCCTCTTCAAGACTTTGAGGGGACTTTCCGGGGACGTTTGGTAGGAAGTATTAAGAGAAATAGTTTATATATTATGTATGATATTATTTAGTACTACTATGTTCGGTAGGAATTTTGAGCCTATGTATAACTAATCGATAAATTAGTTATACATCCTACATGGTATTATTGAATGTATAAATACCTCCCAGTACCCACCTCGTCCTGCCCTATTGTCATCCCTATCAATAGCCAAGCTGGAATCCAATACTCTTATCAAGCCAAGAACAAAAAGACAAACATACAAAACAAAGATCTTATATAACATTCAGTGATAAAGACTAATCTGTTACTGCAACTTCCAAGAATATTATCATATTCTTACTCGTACCGTTACCAGTCTCTGGGTACGGTACACACGGTGTTCCCACGGTTTACTTTTGTCTATAAACTAAACTTGTAACCATCAGCTTGTTGATACATCAATCAACAGAATCCAAATTTTTCCTCTTTCCAAAAATACACATTTCAATCTCACCAATATTGTTACCAAAATCATGTGTGACAACATCTTGCTAGTGCAGTTACCACCTATTTTAACGTCCCCCGCCAGGAAGAGATGGCGTTGGGCGTATAAAATTCTCTATACTGCCAGGGCATTACTGTCTACCGCCAGGAAGATTGTTGCTGAAAACAAGACTGACATCTTAAGCAACTTTTCACGATCTCGGTCCTATACAGCTGTTGATATTGAACCTGAATGTTTTTCGAACATCAGCAAGCAAATGTTAGCAAAACTCGTTCGAGTGAGAGATGTTATACAGTTTGGTGGTGTAGAAAGCGTGTTGTTTCTCCTGAAAGCTGATGCTGACAAGGGTATCCTAGGTGATGCTAAGGATACTGCTTCTCGGCGTAAACATTTTGGGATTAACACATTTAAGAAGCCATCAGTAAATCTATTGGAGATCCTGTTGAAGAGCCTCAAAGATCCTAACATCATCATTGTGCTATTGTATGCTG